CTATGAGACAGCCATTTACATTATGCAAATGTACTGACCGCTTGCCAAATCTTATCAATCTCAAATTTAAAAAGGCACCCTAAGCTAGTTTAAGCATGCCTGCTAGTCAATAAAGGAAGAGCCTGTTCAGGTTTTCACACCTTGTTAATGCTCATTATTATATGATTGCTTCCCTCTAATAAGAACCTAGAAATTGGCACAATCTATAGAGTTTCAGGCTGCTAAAGTGCAGAGCACTATCAGGAGCGGAGATGGGTTGGAAGGATTTGCCACCCCACCCTGTACTGCTTAACAAACTATCTGTATTAGAGCAGGGTGGGCAAAATCCGGCCTGCGGGCCAGATCCAGCCTGTAAACTGACTGGATCTGGCCCATCAGTGGGTACTTACCAATTGACTGGACCTGGCCTGCAGCTGCCCCCACCTGGGGCCAGCCCATGCCACACTCCCACCTGTGTCAGCCCTGGCACTGGCCTTGGCCCTGACCCCAGCCCCAGCCAGCACACAGCTTCCCGGCGAGACTGCTCCCTGTGCAGCTGCAGCCACCTGGGTACTGCTCAGCTCCCCCTGTCTCCAGCAGCTCCTCCTCCTGCCTCTGCTGCACTGCTCTAGATAACAGGTAATTCAGGGAAGTGATGGCCAACATGGGAAGCAGATGCCCAGCTAGGTGTGGGGTGAAGCTGCAGCCAGGCAGCTCCTGCCCCAGCACAGGGGTTCCAGCTCCCAGCCACTTTCCACCTACTCAGCCACCCAGAGGTAGCTGCTTAGCGTCCTGGGTGGGCGAAGTAGGAGGAAGGTAGCTGGAGCCCTGCACACTGAAGAAGGAGCCACCTGCCTACAGCTTCCCTCCACCTGGCTGAGCATCTGCTGCCTGGCATGCATCCCCACGGCTTCCCCAAATTGCCTGCTGCAAAGAGCAGTGCTGCAGGGGCAGGGGGAAGAGGAGCAGGAGCCACTGGAAGTAAGGGGACCAAGCAGTATCTGTGCAGCTGTGCTCACTGGCAGGGGCCACCTGCCGGGCGCAGGAGTGGTGTGGGCTATCCCGGGTGGGAGCAGGCAGGGTTTGGCCCCATGCAAAGTGCTGCAGGGACAGCCATGAGCTGGATGATGGGGGAAAGGGGAGCAGACCACACCTGCACCACACTGCCAGGGCAAGCTCTGCTACGTGGGCAACTCCCACACATTCACACAACCCCCCCCATCACACACACACCCTCCACACACTATACAACAGTAAGCCTTGATGTTGAGCTATTATGCAATTGTCTTTATATTCACTACTCAAAAAAAACATAAATCAGGATAAAAATTATTTTTTGAAATAAAATGTTATAGTAGATGTTTGATTTTTTAATATATGATTTTTTTACCTATAATTTGTTAAAATGATGTCTTCTGAAAGATGTGTATGAAAGAGCCCTCGACAGCTCACCAAAACTTGTTAAGTGGCCCTCCAGCTGAAATAACTGCTCACCCCTGGCTTAAACAATATATAATTTTGTGCTTTAAAAGGGCCAATTTGCCCAAAACAGAGAAAAATGATGAGCAAGTGATTGGGAGGAAATATTCAGAAACAAGATCTGCTACTCGATTAGTCTATAAAAGGTGCATATCTATCTTGCCTTCCAATAGGCGGTTTGACTCGAGACTCACGACTCTCTCTGCTATGAGATTGCCAAACAGCAAGAATTGAACAGCCAAGAAGAGGAGGCACAGAAAACTAACACCCAAGAGTCCTTTCCTTTGGGTGAAGAGAGCTCTGAAATGCTGAAGTTAGTTTAATACAACTTTGAATAGAGGGGAAGTTCTAGGAGACTGGAAGAGCATCATACTCAAAAAAAGCAGCTGGATGACCCTGGTAACTACTGCCCAAACATCTATCCTGAGCAAAAAGGGAAAGCTGATACTGGATGTAATTAACAGTTACAATGGACAGGCATATAAAATTCATGGAAAAAAAAATAAGTCACGTCAAACAATCCTGATTGCACTCCTTGAGACAGTTGCAGGCTTCATTGAAAAGGTAACTGTAGACCGAACGAATGCTTGTGAGTTGACTGACTTAATATTGCATTATGTTCCAATTAAAAAGAGCACTCTTCAGCAGGGCTCTCCAATTTCTAAAGGCCACAGGCCACACACCCTTCAGGTTGCACCACATGCACCCCTGCCCCCTACCTCCACTACAGTGCACATCCACAAGGATCCCTCCCCAATCACTGCACTGCATGGCCCTAGCCTCACACCGAGCACCCCACACCATGCCCTGCCGTGCTGTCCTGCACTGCCCCCGAGGCAGGTGCAGATCACGGAAGTCAGAGGAGGCTGACAACTTGGGCTACTGCTGCAGCCAGGGTGATAGGGGGACTGAAGGCTGGGCAAGAGCCTGTGGGCCACAATTTAATCGCATGGGCCGCCAGTTGGACAGCCCCGCTATACAGTATCACTAGAGCATACGCGGAACAGAGTAAGAACTGGCTAAGCAACAGATCTCAAAGTACTCAGAGGGACAACATTGGATGTTTTTTGGCAGACTTCCATAAGGGATCAGTACTTGGCTCACCATTGCGGAATTACTTCCAGATAACTCACAGAAATGGGGGAAGTGGGCAGAGCAGGTAGGATGGGGTGGGATGTAGAAATTGCTTCTGCTAAGATTTGTGGATGGCAATATTGGTTGAAAAGTAAATAATGAGCAAGACAAAGCACATTCAGAGCTGTCTGGTTCCCTTGGTAAGCTGGACCCAAAACAAAACATATTTTAAAACGCAGCCAAAAAGTTATACATTTGGGACAAGAAACAGAGCCATACTGCAGAACAGGGAGTACCTTGGATATTAGTGACTCAGAAAAGGATTTGGTTGCTTGTCAACTCTGACTCCAGTTTTGCAAAGAAACAAAACAATACAATGGGGAGAAGAGAGAAAGGCAAGATTTACCAGGGTTCAGCTGAACCCACTGTGAAACGTTTTGTCTGTCCGCACCTACCCTATGGTAAACTGAAGTTAAACAGGGACAGATTATTTATAGATTTTAGCATCAGAAAGGACCTATTAAATCATCGAGTCCGACTCCCAGCCCTGGGCAGGTAAACCCTGAAATGCCAATGAGTTATTGAAGTTTAGTGTTGCCTTATATAGGACAGAAAGAGACAGAAGGGGAAAAAAAGTTTGAAATAAAGAAAAAAAACAAGCCAAAAAACCCCCAAAAAACTTATCGTCTGATAAGTTTTCATGAGCCATAAGTTGCTCCCCCACTTTAAAACGGGATAAATATCTGTCCACGCTCCCAATGCAACGTTGCAGCTAAAGACAATGCAATCTACTGATGCATTAATATAAGAGCAGTGAGCAGAAAGGTGATTTTTGTAGTCCTGCTGTCCATATGCTACAGCTGAAAATTTAGAGAGAGCGCAAAAAAATAGCTAAGGGTTATTCAAGGGAGATGCAGTTCTTTGGGTAAATGTGATATCTTTTAAGGGTTATTCAAGGCTGGAGAAAGTGCCTCTGAAAGGAAGCTCAACCTGTTTAGCTTATCCAACAGACACAAGGTAACTTGGTTAACTTTGCTTCACAGGGAGAAAATCCTGGATCTACTGAAACACGAATCTAGCAAAGAATGGCATCTAGTCACATGGCTGGAAACTGAAGCCAGACTATTTCATTTAGAAGCAAGACAAAGCAAAAAGAAAGAAAGAAAAGTAAAAGTGATGCACTGGGACAACCCATCAGAAGTGGTAGAATCTATCTAACACTTGGAAATCTAGAGCAGACCACATCTTCTGGAAAGATACCCCTTCAAAAAGTTACTGCTCCCAGCAAAAGCAACCGGCCCAAGTTCTGCACCCCTTTATCACACAGAAGGCAAGGAAGGTGGGCTGGACTCGATGATCTTCCGAGGTCCCTTCCAGACTTAATGTCTATGAAATCTATGAAAGTGTTTTTTGGCCTCAAATCCAGATCTCTCTCAAAAGTAACCCCTTTTGAATATATTTCATAAAGGATATTCACTTCATCAGTTTAACCTTTAAAGCCAGTTTATGTGACATTTAAAGGGCAGGCCAGGATAGGGCTTAAAGGGCTACAACTTAAAAAAAAAAAAACTTCATTCAGTCTAATTCTTATGTAATCTATATTCCTATGACATTATCCTTCTAGGTTAGCCAAACGAGCAGTTATTACACGTGAAAATTTACCTTACACATACCAACAGCTGTAACAGAGCACACTGATGAGCTCAGTATATATTTCAAAGGAGACTTGCATTAATGATGTACATCTTGAAAGGTTTTGTATCAATCTTGAGAGTCAAATTAATATTGCTATTTGGACAAGGTGAATGGCAACCTTTGTGCAAAAAGTTATCTGAAGGTAGTAAAAAGGAACAGAAAATTTATGCAAGTTTGCATAAATGATCATTTCCTGTCTGCTGTGTGCCAGTTTGTGGATGGTAATGCTTCAGCTTCATAGTTCGCCAAGAGGCAAGCCAACAACATCAACAACCTTTAGCTAAACTAAGCTTGCATGAAATAACTGCTAGAATCAAATTTTATATCAGAGGAGACTACAGTAATATTTTATTCCAAATAGCAAAAACAGTAAATGTATTGTTTAGGGAGCTGTCTGTTTGACATGAATGAATATGGTTAAAATGAAGATCTACAAAACAGATTCACTGCAGTCTGCCTGGTCTGTCTGTGAGGCAGTGTTAGTTTCACGATTAGAAACTGAAGTTACCAATTTTTATTTTTAGCTGAAGACAGCAGGCCTAGGTCCTCAAACTAATGGAATTAGAACAAAACCGGAGGCATTTAAACCAGTTGGCTATACATTTCAAACCAATCCCATATTTCAAACCCATACGCCACAATGGAAAAACTCTCCTGCTAACCCGAATGCTAAAATATAACCTATATGAATACACCATGTGATTATTCTATAGGCATCTTGCTTATTCAAGGTTGTTCAGCCTTCTTGACTTATGCCTAAGTGACATACTTACTCGCGTTCTTTCTCTGTCAGTTTGTCGTTGATATTGTCTTTGATTGCAGACCTGGAGCCCTTGTGAATTATGGGATACCTGAGTGGCACTTGTAAGAAATAGGAAATCATTGAGACCAAGTGAGCAGTGTAGCCCAGAGCAACAGCAATGCTTCCATCGTCTTTTGCTGCAAAGGGAAGAAGAAAAGAAAAATGGTCTTTCCCCAGCCAAATTTTACTAACATCATATATTTATTTAATGAACATTTGGCCTAGAAAATTCCCTTGCACACACACTGCATCACTTATGTTATGCCCGAGCTTTTAAAGATGCAAAGCTATATAGCTGGGCACTAAACAGCAAAGTTACCAAGCATTTTACAGAAACTTTAAGGGCACTGGATCAGGTCACCGTGTCCCAGACAGACTGTTCAATAAAGGAATGTATATTTAACTGTTCAACAAGAGAAGATGCGATACTATGTTTCCAACATAGTATTTAACATTTTAATAAGAGTGTGATTGAATAACTAATTAAATACGAATAAACAGAAACTTTTTACTTTAAATCCGTTCGTCAACTTCAGTCCATCATTTGCATGTTGTGCTGAAAGGTGGCATCAGGCAGGCAATGACTTGGGCCTGAAAGTCCAGACACACTTCATTTCAAACTGCCAGGGCAAGAGTTTTCAGCTCAAGTCTGAGCTGAAAGTTTTTTTATAAAAATGGATTCTGAAGACAGAGTTCAAGTCTTTGGGGTTCAACATTTCTCTGCATACCTCACGCTCACAGCAGAGAATGC